CACAGTTATAGTTCACTTTCAGTAATTCCAAGAAAGAATAGACATGCTTTCAAATCCAGCAGTTTAAGTCAAATTAATTCTATATAGTTAAAGTTCATGTATTCCGGATATAAAATCTTTCAGAAAATTTCACAACAATGACAGATAGCAACTAAGTGCAACAACAATGAAAAACAAGTACAGCCTCTTAGGACAACAATCACCCACTGGGCTCCCAGCCCTCAACACTCACACTCAATGGGTACTCGCGCTTACTAGGGGTGTACATACTCCGGAGGGGCTCCTACAGCCCAAGCGCTATAATCTGCACGGACAACTCACGTGCTGCACGGACAACTCATGTGCTACAATATAATATCTCACAATCAGGCCCTCGACCTCGCTCAGTCATAAATCTCTCCAGTCTCTCGGGCTCTCAGAAATCATGAAATCAGCCCAAAGAACAATGATATGATGCATCAATAATGAACAATAGAGACTGAGATAAAATAATCAAGTAAACTGTGACTGAGTACAAAACAACAATTAAGCAGATAGTTCAACATGTACACGACCTCTGTGGGTCCCAACAATACCAACATATAGCCTAAACATGGTTTATAGTCAAATTTCCACAACACATAGAGAGCACATATCTAACAACAAGTTATTCAAGTTTATAGTTTCACGGGACGGACCAAGTCACAATCCCCTCGGTGCACGCCCACACGCCCGTCACCTAGCATGTGCATCACTTCCAAAATAATCACATGATACAAAAACCCGGGGTTTCATACCCTCAGGACCAGATTTATAACTGTTACTTACCTCAAACCGTGAAATTCTTATTCCGCTAAGCCTTTGCCTCATGAATTTGCCTCCAAACACCTCGAATCTAGTCAAAAATAATTTGTTTTAGTCAATAAAATTCATTGGAATTAATTTCATAAGAAAATGCTAATTTTCCATAAAAATCCAAAATTTAGCTCAAAAATCGCCGTGGGGACCATGTCTCGGAACTCGACAAAAGTTACAAAATCTGGAAGCCCATTCAACCACGAGTCTAACCATACAAATTTTACTCAAATACGATATCAACTCGACTCTCAAATCTCCAAATTAAACCAAGAGGGTTTTCACAATTTTCCAATTTAGTTCACCTATTAAACAATAAAAACAACCATGGATTCAAGTAATTTAACCAATATTGAGTTAAGAACACTTACCCCGTTATTTTCTCTGAAAATCTCCCAAATATCATCTCAATTCGAGTTCCAAATCATTAAAAATGAAAAATGGGACAAAGTCCCATTTTTGGAACTTAAACTTTCTGTCCAGACCTCTTTTCTCCGCGAACGCGACAGGTCCTTCGCGTTCGCGAAGCACAACTCGACTGCCCAGAATTTAACCCTTCGCGAACGCGACCATGGCTTCGCGAACGCGAAGCTTTACCAATCTCACCCTTCACGAACGCGAAGCTTTACCAACTCAAACCTTCACGAATGCGACCACCACCTCGCGAACGCATAGAATAAGGACTTGGGGTCCCCAATTGCCTCATTCCTCTTTGCGAACGCGACACCACTCCCGCGTTCGCGATGCACACTCATACCATACCTTCGCGTTCGCGTCCTCCCCTTTGCGAATACGAAGAACAAAATCTCACCACTCAAAAAAACTCTTCGCGAACGCGAGGTCCCTCTCGCGAATGCGAAAGAGGAAATTAGAAGAACGCAACAACAGATATGAGCAATCTCACCAAGGCCAAAAATGATCTGTTAACTCCCCGGAACTCACTCGAGCCCCCCGGGACATCAACCAAACATACCAACAAGTCCTAAAACATCATACGAACTTAGTTGAACCCTCAAATCACCTCAAATAACACTAAAACCATGAATCATACCCCAATTCAAGCCTAATGAACTTTGAAATTTCAATTTTCCACAAACGACGCCAGAACATATCAAATCAAGTCTGATTGACCTCAAATTTTACACACAAGTCATAAATGAAATAACAGAGGTATTTCAATTTTCATAATTGGATTCCGACTCCCATATCAAAAAGTCAACCCCCTGGTCAAACTTTTCAAAAATTCAACTTTCGGCATTTCAAGCCTAATTCCACCTCGGACCTCCAAATAATTTTTCAGACAAGTTTGCTATCCTTGTTAGAAAAGTCCGAGAGTTGAAATTATCTCCGTTAATGTGTTATTGCGAAGTCCGTAAGTCGAGGAGACCACATAGAGGGGCAAAAGTGTTAAGGAAATAAAATGTTCCCACTTGAGTGTATATTTAAATGATTGTGATTTGAAAGGTAATCCAGATACCACTCTATAATACTCAAAACGACCAGCCGGGTCATTACAGACATGCATATATAGTTCATTCTTGTGATAATAGTTGTACCCGCAGGGCCTCAAACTCACAAGCATGGCACTAGGTTTGAGAGGAATTGAGTGGTCCAGTGTTCTAGTAGGAGGTAGTGACTTAGGCTCAGTAAACACATCATCATACTGTTCTAGTACTGCTAGGATAGCTTCTTCCACTTGATCTTGTCTGGTGGCCACCACTGAGTTCATCATGAATAAATGAGCTAGAAGTGCTTGCCCCTTCTTAATCACCCTGCCCATAGTTCTACTGGAGATCATATTTAACTTGCCTTCTTCTGGAATACCATGCAACACCATCTTATTCCCTTTTCTCCCAATGGTAACACAGTTCTTCTCATGGTCAAATTTAGTGGGATTGTGTGTCTTCATCCAGTCGTTTCCTAGAACAATGTCACAGTCACCTAATGGAATGATAAACAAATCTTCTTTGAAAGGTATGCCCTGCATTTTCCACATAAAATCTTTACAGTGAGAGGTACACATGACATAATTGCCATCAGTAATTATCACTCTCACTAGTGGACAGTAAGTGGCCTGATAACCAGCCTCTTTAACAGTGTTTTCATCTATAAAACTGTGAGTACTGCCAGAATCAATGAGCAATGCTAGGTTCCTATTTTTGGCAGAGCCCTTGACCAAGATGATGTTAACTCCTTGGTTATTCTCTGATAATGCACTCATACATACAACTTCATGCACAACCTGCTCCATATCTCCTTCAATTATTAAGTCAGCAAGGTAGGGATCCTCATTATCATTAGGGCATTCTCGAGCAACTTCCACCTCTCCCAACAAACAATTCAACTGCTTCTTCTTGCATTGGTGACCTGGTGTGTATCTTTTCCCACATCTAAAGCACAGATGATTGTTTCTCCTATACTCATAAACTTCAGGACTAAGCCTGAATGCATTAGGCTTAACAACAGGGTTCATTGTTGTTTTGGCACTGGTGGTACTGCTTCCAACAGCTGGTGGTCTAACACTAGCTTTATTCTTCTTTTGTGCAGCTTCTATAGCCATCTCTTGTAGCCTAGCTTGTTCAATAGCAAACTTCAGTGTAGTAGGCTTGAACAACTTCACTCCAAATCGAATTTCTTCCTTTAGAGCTCCTATGAAGCTAGATATGAAATAAGATTCAACAAGATGATGATTCCTGATTAACATCTGAGCCTTCATATCCTCAAACTTTCCCAGAAACTCATCCACAGTAGCAATTTGACTTAGTTTATTGAATTCCTCCACTATGTCATCCATCACTACATCCCCAAACATACAGATCAATTCTTCCTTAAACTCAGCCCAAGTGATCTCTCCCATACTCAATGTGAGGGAGTGATACCAAGTTTCATCCAACCCATTCAAATAAAGTGCAGCTGCCTCTACTCTTTGATTGTCTGGAGTCCTATAAATTGAAATATTTTTCACATTTTCGAATCCATACCTTGGGTTCTTGTCCTTCAAATCTGGGTAATTCCCATTTAGGAGGGGGAACTGGAACACTTTGATTTCTGTTTGGCCTCATCCTTGAACTGGCAGAGGTAACATCCCATCACCTTGACGATTATCACCTTGAGCTCTATTGGGAAGCCTTTCTAGAGTGGTCAACCTATCGAGAATCAGTACCGGGGTTCCTTGAATCCCTGTTTGTGTGTCGCGAAACTCCTGTTGGCTGGTGAGCACCTGCTCCAAAATTCCGTCATGTCTCACGAGTTTGTCATCCATGAGTTTGAGGCGAGTTCCTTTTGCCATTCTCACCACACAGTCGCAGAACCGAGGCTCTGATACCAAATGGCAAGTTCGACGAAGGATCTAAGCTAAATTCAATAAGGAAAGGAAATTGCAAACAAGTGGGACAATTTTCTGTATTTTTTTATAAACGGAAATGGATATCAAATTACAAAACTAAGAAGACAGAATTAAGCTAAGCTAACTAAATGGTAACTCGACTCCATAGCTGGAAGATCTGCAGAAATTTAGAGAAGAAGAAGAAGGGGAAGTTAGAGTATGAAAGAAAGAGAAGAATAAGAAAAGAGTGAGAGAGAATAGAGTGGGAAGAATGTGAGACCTGTAATCCGTTTAAACTCTCCTCTCTCTTCGTCTTGTATATAACAACCAGTTGTCAACGTGGCTTAATCTCGTCCCTTGCTGCTTATTATTGGAAAGTCAATCGTGGCCGCTACTTTTAAAAGTTGGTTATTCTTTCTTGTGGCATCAGCTGGTGTTTGAACCCAGCTAACAACACCAAATAACTCATACTCTGCTACAGCTCAGGTCATTACATTTAGAGAAGGGAATTAGTGTCGCCACATGCTTAGTTGAGAGATACGAACACTGAACTCGAAAATTGAAATGCCGATTGTCAAGATTAAACCCATTACTTATCTTTTCAACAATACAATCAAGAAAAGTAATATATATCCTAATAAAGAACTCCATCTAATCTAACAAGAAGAGCTAATAAAACGTTATCCTTCAATATAGCCATAGGTTTACGACATGTGTCTTGCTAAAAAATCAATGGACTAGATTTTATTAGTTAAAAAATATTTTAACCTCTAACTGAACGGCTTGGACAGGCGGGAACCCACACGGGTCACCCGCAAATTTATTGGTATTCTTAGCAGAGAAGGTAACGGGAAAAACGAGTAGAAGTTTAATTGAAAGCGACCCTCCAATTTTGTGGACTCTCTTCTATGGTCAATGCTATTATTTATCAACGTTTCTTCACTCAAGTTTTTTTTACACACAAATACCAGAAGTTTCTTTTGAAATATCTAATCAATAGTCCATTTTTCGGTGTGATTTCCGCTGTAATTCATTGTCTGAGTTCAAGAAGTAAAACCCAAGAATCTTGGCAATCTATTGGATTAGTGACATGAATTGAACTGGGTTTCGGTAAATTATAGGAGAGAGAATCAAGATATGATGATAAATTTTCAAGGTCTTTCAAAGCAGAAATCTCCCCAGGTACCGCCTCTTTGTTCTTACATATATAGACAAAACAAGACAAACTTGCAAATATCATTAAGTATTTTGCAATCGGGTTATATTAGCAGATTGTATGAAATTAGTAAATATACATGTTTGAGCTACAATTTCACAAAACGATCAGGCAATAGCATAACGACAAAAATGTGATGGTAGTTAGTCATATAGGAAGAAGTTCATTCTTAGACCCGCGTGGGCATTTGCTAAAGAGATTTTGGGGTAATTTGCCAACTAATTTTTTTTTTTTTGTGTGTGTGTGTGTTGTTAAGTATGTGCTTGACTAGATATAGGCATTTTCTCTTCTCCTCAGTGATTTTTGATATGTAAACCTTCTGTCAAAAGTTGAAATTTGTACTCTTGAAAGTTTTTCTTTGAGTATTTTCTTGAGCTCTTTAAACACAGGGTACACTGGTATCGGAGGTAGATACAACAATTCCACCTTAAGCATTGCGTAAACTGATAGGGTTTAAGTTATACATACTGTTAGTGTAAGGAATTTTACACTATCAGGTCACCTCTATTTATTGTATCATGTAACCAGTCTTATTTTAAAAATTACAGATCTCACATTTTAAGGAGACTTACCTGTAGATATCATTTGGGTGACTCGATAGTTTAAACACAGACAAATGTATATAACTTAAACTCAAATTGATATGTTATAGTGAACTTGTTTGATGTTAACTTCCTTACACTTGAATCATGAATTGGACTTCTAAGAATGTTCCATTGGCGAAAATCTAGAAAAAGATGTGTTCTCTTTAGTCTATAGCTGTAAAGTTCTTATTGACTCAGCGTTTTGATTTTCAATTAGTTTTTCTGTGCTAATGTTGACAGGTTCTGTTTGAAGACGCATTCCCGGCGGCTGATCCTGGCACATTGGAGCAATTAAAAGAGTTGAGCTCCAGAAGGAGAGCTATTGAATCTATCAATCAAAATAGCTTTGTGACAGAGGCTATTGCCAGGGAAATGTCTGGGGGGTTGACTTCTCGATGTGAACAGGTGACTAGTCATCTTGTTTCATGTGCTATTAAAAATCCATGAAAATCTAGTTTCAATAAGACTCTTTACATCCGTATTTGCGTCCTTGACATGGTATACTCTCTGTATAATATATTGCTTACTAATGCAGTAACGTGGTGATAATAACATTCTGTGTCACTAATTAACTGGACAAAAGGGGTTGGATGGCCTTCAATACACACCAGCAGATATTTAACCTTTCAGAGCAATGAATAACATGTGAAAGTTTCTCATATTCATTTTTGGTTCAAATGCAGAATATACAGAAGGTGGAACAGTATTTGCCACTTTTGGGAAACTTGATGCACCATGTAAATTTAGTTGGTGACAACCCCAAGATGGTTCGATGGATTTCTGACCTAAAGATTAGGTGGAGCAGTGCTCTCACTTCATCATCCTTTTTTCAACTTAACGGTCCAAAATTTTATCAGATGGATAATTTTCATTCTGAACTTGCAATGACACTTTTCGTTCTTGGTGCATTGTTTCGAGATCGAGCTCTTGAAGTTCTGTCAACAGGCATGTGAGAAATATCTGTCCGTTATGTGAGAAGTTGTAGCACACCATGTGAGATCCATATATCATGTAAATATATTATTTACTCCTCCCTTACGTCGTGCAGATTTAGTTCAATCAGCCTCCTTTCTCAGAAAAGCTGCAGGAGTTTACCATCATATAGCTCAGGATGTCCTTCCCTGTTTACAGCCTGCATTGGCACAAGAAAGGCCACCAGAATCTGTAATCAGTGTTTGTACTGCAGTGACCCTTGTTTGCTTAGCTGAGGCACAGGTTGGTCTTAATCGTTTATCTTGTTTTAATTTTCTGCTCAAGCTTTCCTACAATGATAATATCTATATTTCGTTCATTAGAATATGAGCATCAATACGTTCTGTTTTTTGTTATACGTGATGTTGGACAATTCCAAAAAATTTAGGCTGTGAGTGTGAGGAAGGCAGAGCAAAAAGGGAATACTGGAGGACTCTTGGCGAAGCTGCACTATGGTGTTTGTAAATTTCTTGAAGAAGCTATTCATACCTTGCATTCGGCCACCAAGCAGTGCAATGACATTTCATCTTGCTTAATGGTATGGCTTGTTGATCTACTTCTTTCCTATTTCTTTGGTTCCTTTTTGTATTTATAATTTATCTGTCAATGCATGGATTATAAAGGATAAAATTCTTGCTGGAAATGTTTTATTCATCAATTTAGTCAGAAGTTGTTTCCCTAGTATATTTTTCTCTAAACTTAGGCAGCTAGTAGATGGTCCACCCAAGTGGAGTTTTTAGTCCTTGAAATACCAGGATATCAGTTTAGTAATATAGAACCATAAGGCAAGCAATAAAATTTCGCTGATGGAGGAGAAATAGCAGAAAAAGATATTATGCTCTAATCAATTTGCCCTAATAATGTGTGGCGTGCAAAGGTTTGTGACATAGTCTCGTTTAGAAGTTCATGAGAAACAATGCACAGCTGTAGAAAGCCGAAGCTCATGGTAATTTTTAACCATATAGTTGATATATCAAAGAAGCTAAATTAGAGCAGCCTAAGGCAAGTTTACTACCTTTTTCACCTGAAGCTGCAACCAGGAATTGCCATATTTTCTGTCGTAAATGTAGAAAATCCTTATCGTTGTACCTTGTTGGAGTACAGGACATATAACAATTCTCATGGTACATTTGGCAATGGAAACTTTGCTTTTTACTCGTTGCTTGCTCATAGGCACTCTCTTTTGGGATTTTGAGTATGATGAGAACAATTTCAATGCCAAAGTTTTGTTTCTTAACGTAGTTAATTTATAAGCATCGTTGCCTCCTTCCCACCCTCGCCTTTCTACTGCAAGATGGAACTTAACATGTCTTTGGGCCGATTTTCTGTTCTATGCAGGATTATATTATAACTTCTAAAATGCTACATGAGTTACTCAGTTACAAGTATCTAGCAGAGAGTCTTAAGATTGAGGGGCAAATAGGCTTTGCTATTGGAGCTCTTCGGCATGTGATACAAAATGCAGAAAAGCATATACCAAGAGAAGAGTCTTGGAGACTAGTTCGTAAGCAATTGATTGATGACTTGACTGGACGGCTCCGGAAGTGTGAACGTGAAAATGAGTTTGTCTGGCATGAAAAGATTCTCATGCATGATGAACTGCCTGTACCTCAAGGTGTCAAGATTGTTAGCCCCATACCTTATCAGCCACAAAAGTGGGAAAGAACACTTGTTTTCAAAATCTAAACATACAATGGATAAATTTTGGGAGCAGGACAACAATGCATAACCTTTGCAGGCATCCTTCGTCATTTGAGTGTCTCAAAAAGGTGAAATTTTACTTTTAGAGCTCTTCTATTGAGTGTAAATTCCCAAATTTTGGTGCTGTGTGAACCTAATAAACTTGCCCCAATGGAGATTTCACAGCTTTTCAGTCTTTGATAAGGAGAGCCATGAATGCATCTGAATGAAGTATGTGTGACTGAATGATCTCCTCAGTACTTATGTTTTTTTCCGGTGGCAATGCAGGAGACTACACAAATGTTGTCGACCTATTTGGCTTGTAAGTAGGTTTCAGTCTAGGATTATGTTGGCTTTAGATATACACTAGTGTACTTGTCCGCGCTTGGCGCAGTCGGGAAAAAAAATAAACATGAACTTATTTTAATGTTAATAAAATTAATGTTTACTACTATCCTTTTTCCAATTCTTATAATATTCAACACAAACTTTTTGAGAAAAGGTATGTGAAAGACATCTCAGATTAAATAAAACAACTATTTAAATCAGTATATGAATTGGATTAAGGAAAACAAATAGAAAGCTAATGTATCCTCTATCTCATTTCATTTTTCCTGCTTTCTCTTCACCCTGCTTCATCACAGTCTATTGATCTCAAAACATCACCAAATACTGCATTAAACATGTATCTGACTTCTTACGCTAAACCAGCCCAATACATGTCCTTTCTTTGGTTTGCTCAGCCCATTTCAGAGGATTCTCTTTTGGCAACTTAATTCTTTGATTGAGAGTAGAAACGATGAGTTGAATAAGGTTTTGGAGTCTAATACTTATGTTTGTGGGATAGCCTATCAATGATAATCATTCTATAAAACCTATTCAGATGAACTTTTACAACTTCACTTCTTTAGATCAAGTGTCTAATTTGATATTAATGCTCCAAGTACATCAATTTATGCTCTAGAATAAAAGCTTCTTTATGTGTATTACATTTACTTCCCCTTTTAAAGAGAATTTCCCTATTTCTTAATGAATTTTAAGTTCCTTTTCTTTTCGTTTTCTTAGAAAAAGACTATTCCTTCAGTAAAATTGAACCAATATAATCCATAATTAGTTTTCTACTCAAAATATGTGCTCCCAAATCCTAATTACCAATAATATTTATCATATCTCTCTTTGCAATGTCTCATAAGGCCAAAGTTTAAAGATTATACTATTCATTTATAAAGATTGACACAATGACATATATTTTATCTAAAATGCAGCCGCTATTGCAAATATTTGAATAGGAGTGACAGACAAAAAAATTTCCGTCTTTCTTTAATCAGTAGTTGAGAGCAAAATCAATTTAGTTTAAGAATTTTTTTTAAAGAAATGGTAAAAGAAAGTAATATTATTATCGTTATTACATACCAAAGGAAAATTATGTGCGCCTAAAATATCACTATAACAATCTTGTAAATAGGAGTAAAAAGAGCAACTGTTACCATTCTTAAAAAAAAAAAAGCATCAAACGGTCCAAATGCTAAGTAGGAAACAATCCCCAAACTCATTTGACCTGGTAGAACTATACTTCAGTAAATTAAGTATTTTCCGGTAAAACTTATCTTAAAACAATATTTGCACATACTATTATTGATATAGTTCTTAATCTTAGCAACAAACAAACAAATATTCTTACAAAATCTAGTAAAATACATAAAAGGCATCAAAGTATTCCGGCTATTTATATATTTCGAAATAGAGAAAATAAGATGCATAAATTATTTCAAAAAGAAACATAAGACAATTGGCATTAGAGATTATAATACCCTTACAAACTATCTTTCACTTCAATTCATACCCATTAAAGATCAAATAGGAACTTTCACTTCCATGTCCAAAAATAGAACGATGCAAAGAAGAAGAGAGCAACATCAATTGAAAACCATAATAATCTGCTACAAAACAACATATTAATAAATTAGTAAAATACAAAAACAGGATTAAGAAAATTATATCCACCAAATCAGAAAATTTGAAGAGAACAAAACAATTATCATCAGGAAATCAATACATCAACGATTTCCGAAAAACAAAAGTAGGATGAATAGTGTTACAAAGTAATAATGTTCTAGGCCAAAATATTACAAAAAGATAAAGAACAAAAAAAGGGGAAAAAAGAGTCCAAAGGAATTGACTTGATGTCAAGAGGAATGAAAAAATTAGTTGAGAGCAGAAAGACTATTTGAAGGGGATTGACTCTTGGCTGCCATATTTATTATTACTAAAATGAAGATCATGGTCTTAGAAGTTATAATTATGATAGGTACTAAAGAGGTGGTAAATATTGAGTAATTGCAAAAAGAAAAAGTAACGTACCTTTAATAAGAGTTACAATAGAATCAATTTCCTTCCCCTTATTTCATTTATGATAGAAATTGTTGAAGCTATCAAGAAGGCTATAATTCATATTGAGTAATTAAATAATTACATTAAAGTAAGGTGAAAAAATCAAAAAAAAACCAGAAAAAAGATAACTGTGAATGAAAGTCAAAGAGATGTGCCACATCAGCTTTTCAATTCCCTGTTTTATATATAATAGTTTTAGTGTACGTGTGTTGCATGTATTTACCGCGTCAATCAATAAAAACTATATACAGAAGAACAACTTATTGTATGTGTACCTCATACATGGAGTACATGACTTTAAAAAATTACATAAATACTTATGAAATACATAAGAAAAAGTGTAAATTCTTAAAAATAATCAATATTGATCCAATTTAGCTAAGCTTAATAAAGAAATAAATCCTTCCCCGTATACCTCAGATACATTGTTGTGACTTTAGATTTTGCATCCAATATTGGAGTCATGCGCAAAAGATTTTAAAGGATGAGGAGAATTTATTTTATATTTGTTCTAATATAAAGATATCTTCTTTTTTAAGTCATTATATTCGGATTTCCTCCATAGTTTAACAAAAGAAATTAAGGAATTAGTAAAAAAAAATTTAACTGATTTCAAAGTTATAATGTTAAGATTTAGTTTATCTTTAAGCATAACTCTTTGTATCGAAAATTGCTGATGAGCAAAGAGAAAGAAGGAAATTTTAAAGGGTCAAAGACATACTGTTATATATCGAAAGAATCAAATTAACATAATTTCACACAAAAGGAAAACCTATGTACTTTACTAGACGATTTATTATTTCAACATTTCTATTTAAAGTTAACAAATAATGTTTCCTTGCATGTATATATATCTAGAAAGCATACCATTGGGTTGTACAATAGAAATTAAAGTAAAAAAGAAAGTGTTTTTGCTTCCCTTCTAGGCTAGTACTACGATTTATAACAGTTAGAACTTAGAAGTATCACCCTTCTTTTCTAATGCAAGNAGCGATGATCCCTATAATTCAGTTCCATTGTCCTTGTTAGTTTTTGTATGCAGATCTACAAGATTTGAGAAACACCAAACATTATGTAAGCTCAGGCCCACGGACTAGCGTTAACTTTTTTGTTGTTTCAAATCAACTTTTCAGAATAAGTTTTGGCCTTTTTCCCAATAAAAATTTGGAAATATATTGAATAGCATGTCAATTTGTTCTGTCAATCACAACCAATTTGTTTCATCATACGCACGAAAGTCTCAAAATCTTAAGGAGTTTTGTGATTTATTCTTCTAAGAATAAACTTCAGAATCAATTATTCTAAAAACGAAAAACAATTCTTCGAAAACCATATAAAAAACAAGACAAAAATCACCGAAGGTTGAAATAATTTTTATAGAACGACAAAAACAAAACTTATAGAACTCACCCGCTAAGGAGCAATTTCTTATCTCATTGGCAAAGTGCTCGAATCAAGAAGTTTTTACGTGAAGGAAGGACTATACTAACACAATCCTAGTCCAAAATTTGGCATAATGACATCCCTTTCAAAATGTCATTCTTAGCCTGGAGGGCAGTCCATAACAGATTGCCTACTGATGACAAGATCAATAGGTTTGGTATCAATATTCCTGCTTTTTGTTCATGTTGTTTAAACACATGAATAACCAATAGTGTTGAGACTGTTGAGCACCTCTTCTGCGAAGACAACTATGCTCAAACAATCTGGAAGTACTTTGCTGGTGCTCTTGGAGTTACTTTCAGGAGTATAAATATGAACTTATTATTAATTGCAGGAATCTGAGAACTATGAACTCTGTCATTTCCTATGTTCTTAAAATTCTTTCTTCCTTTCATTTTATGGGAGCTATGGAGATCAAGATGCAGTGCCAAATATGGTATGGAAAGACCCTAAGTAACATCTCTCTCAATGAGGTTCTCTATCACTGCTGTCAAATGGATTAGACCTCCCATCCTTTTTGTTAAACTCAATAGTGTTGGATCTTGTGTGGATCGAGAATGTGGTGTTTGAGGTGTAATTAGAGATTGCATGGGTAATTTCATGATGGCATTCTCCAAATCTTTGGATCAATGTACAAGCAACTGGGCAGAAGCTTGTGCACTATTATTTGGCATAAATTGGTGCATTCAAAAAGGTCACAATCTTTTCATTGGTGAAACTATTCACTACTCTTACAAAATTGCGTCACTGGTACCTGGCCTTCTCCATGGAGGATTGCAAACAATATGAGACAGCTAAAAACTTTGGTGCATAATAATGGATAATCATTAGACATTACTTCAGGGAAGCAAACATAGTGGCTGATAGAATGACTTCCTTGAGCCACAAGGCAGGTGCTGTTTATATTAACACTAATTTTGATACCTTACCTCGTCAAGTTAAAGGTCTTCTTAACACCGATAGATGAAATCTTCCTACTTTTCGAATCAAGAAGATAAAATCAAACAAGCTTATATATGAGCCGCCTTGATATACCAGCTTTATTGCCACATTTTGTTGTTTCGTTTTAGAGGAAGTGTTAGTTATTTTACTACTAGTTGCTTGCCTCTATCTACTCTTGTAAAGAAGGCATGGATATACCCTCCTTCAATTGTAACTTCTTCAAAAGTGGCAATAAAATCGTGACTCATTAAAAGGAAGAAAAAACATATACAACCTTCCAACAAAAATTAGAGATTTCTCTTTCTTCTTATCTTCCCCCTCGCACAAACCCTAGCCGTCGTTGTTCCTATCCACCTACTGGTCGCGACCTCTGCTCTGATGCTTCTCTACCACCACCGATCACTGCTACTCCGCCACAAAACTGCTGGAGCTTCGCCGGAAAATTAAATAACTCTGTCCATTGCTTTTTTCTTCACTGAAATTTTCTTTTTTTTTTCAGAGTTCTTTCATATGACTGCCACAACTTCTTCTTTCCATGTACACTTATATATCATTGTATATCATATGTATGTTAATGTATACACTTGACATACATATGACATACAGTGATTTACATTGACATAAGCAGCTCATACAAGACATACACCTGACAATACCCAACATACAAGTGATATACAC